TGTGAGTCTGTGGGTCTCTGTGTGAGTCTGTGGGTCTGTGTGTGAGTCTGTGGGTCTCTGTGTGAGTCTGTGGGTCTCTGTGTGAGTCTGTGGGTCTCTGTGTGAGTCTGTGGGTCTCTGTGTGAGTCTGTGGGTCTCTGTGTGAGTCTTCTGTGGGTCTCTGTGTGAGTCTTCTGTGGGTCTCTGTGTGAGTCTTCTGTGGGTCTCTGTGTGAGTCTTCTGTGGGTCTCTGTGCGAGTCTGTGGGTCTCTGTGCGAGTCTGTGGGTCTCTGTGTGAGTCTGTGGGTCTCTGTGTGAGTCTGTGGGTCTTTGTGTGAGTCTGTGGGTCTTTGTGTGAGTCTGTGGGTCTCTGTGTGGTGAGTCTGTGGGTCTTTGCTTGAGTCTGTGGGTCTCTGTGTGGTGAGTCTGTGGGTCTCTGTGTGGTGAGTCTGTGGGTCTCTTGTGTGGTGAGTCTGTGGGTCTCTGTGTGGTGAGTCTGTGGGTCTCTGTGTGGTGAGTCTGTGGGTCTCTGTGTGGTGAGTCTGTGGGTCTCTGTGTGGTGAGTCTGTGGGTCTCTGTGTGGTGAGTCTGTGGGTCTCTGTGTGGTGAGTCTGTGGGTCTCTGTGTGGTGAGTCTGTGGGTCTCTGTGTGGTGAGTCTGTGGGTCTCTGTGTGGTGAGTCTGTGGGTCTCTGTGTGGTGAGTCTGTGGGTCTCTGTGTGGTGAGTCTGTGGGTCTCTGTACCTTGCCGGCCTTCATTGACGCCGCTGCTGCTGCACTTGCCCCAACAGTCTTGTGAAGGTTACACGGTGGGGGGGGGACCTTTGTCTGTGTGTGGCGAAGGCGATGGATACCCTGACGGGAGCCCTGTTCCAGCGGCCGCCCCTCATCGCCGCCGTCAAGCGGCAGCTGCGTGTGCGCACCATCTACGAGAGCAAGATGATCGAGTACGACCCCGAGCGACGCCTCGGTACTGTCAAATACCCCCCCTGGTGCAGAGTCACTGCCATTCACTCACCCCCCTGGTGGAGAGTCACTATCATTCACTCTTTCCCCTGGTGGAGAGTCACTGCCATTCACTCTCTCCCCTGGTGGAGAGTCACTATCATTCACTCCCTCCCCTGGTGCAGAGTCACTGCAGAGTCACTGCCATTCACTCTCTCCCCTGGTGCAGAGTCACTGCCATTCACTCTCTCCCCTGGTGCAGAGTCACTGTCATTCACTCTCTCCCCTGGTGCAGAGTCACTGCCATTCACTCCTCTGGTGCAGAGTCACTGCAGAGTCACTGCCATTCACTCCCTCCCCTGGTGCAGAGTCACTGTCATTCACTCCCTCCCCTGGTGCAGAGTCACTGCCATTCACTCTCTCCCCTGGTGCAGAGTCACTGCCATTCACTCTCTCCCCTGGTGCAGAGTCACTGTCATTCACTCCCTCCCCTGGTGCAGAGTCACTGTCATTCACTCCCTCCCCTGGTGCAGAGTCACTGCCATTCACTCCCTCCCCTGGTGCAGAGTCACTGTCATTCACTCTCTCCCCTGGTGCAGAGTCACTGTCATTCACTCCCTCCCCTGGTGCAGAGTCACTGCCATTCACTCTCTCCCCTGGTGCAGAGTCACTGCCATTCACTCTCTCCCCTGGTGCAGAGTCACTGCCATTCACTCTCTCCCCTGGTGCAGAGTCACTGCCATTCACTCTCTCCCCTGGTGCAGAGTCACTGCCATTCACTCTCTCCCCTGGTGCAGAGTCACTGCCATTCACTCTCTCCCCTGGTGGAGAGCCACTGCAGAGTCACTGCCATTCACTCCCTCCCCTGGTCCAGAGTCACTGCTATTCACTCCCCTGGTGCAGAGTCACTATCATTCACTACCCCCCCTGATGCAGAGTCACTGCTATTCACTCCCTCCCCTGCCACCTCCCGTATACCAGGCGAGGTCGTTAACATCTCCTCGCCTACCGCGTCGGCCTCCCCGGAGCGGAAAGTCGTTATCCCCAAACGGCTTTCGCCAGGCGGACCACGCCGTGCGGCAAGAGGGGTGGGGCTGGGTGGGGTGGGGCTGGGTGGGGTGGGGCTGGGTGGGGTGGGCTGGGTGGGGTGGGGCTGGGTGGGGAGGGGCTGGGTGGGGTGGGGCTGGGTGGGGAGGGGCTGGGTGGGGATGGGCTGGGTGGGGAGGGGCTGCTCACCCCGTGGTGCCCTTATAAAACTCAACGTTTAACCTACTCACGCCGGCTTGTGCCCGCCCTCACAGTCGGGCATATTTGCGGAATACACCACGCCACCGTTGACCCTGCAGGCCATTGACCGAGCAACCCGACAACGTTCCTACCAGCTCCCTCCGCAGGACAATGTGTTAAAAACTTTTTTTTAAACACGCTTTATTGCAATGTACTGTACTAGTAATGGAAGAACTCCACGACTCCAGGAAGTGGCCCCGAAGCTTGCCACGACGTTAGGAACCGTGGTGGTTTACCGCCAACGTCAGTTGAGCGTGGACAATTCGACCCAAGTCGAAACATAAGGTATACAAAATAATGTTTAAAAATAAATATTTTGTTATGATGGAATATAGTATTGTCATCGGTATGACATAAGTAATACCAAGTTTGCAGTCGATACCACATTGGGAAGTGGGTTAAAATTGAGTTACAAGATTTGAGGATACAACAACAACAGACAGAGTGAGTTAATAAAAATCGTGCAATAAAAAGATGCTCACGCGAGCCACTGGTTTGGTCTTCGCGTTAATCCCCCGTGCCCCCCCCCCGTGCCCCCCCCCCCCGTGCCCCCCCCCCCCCGCCGTGCGCAGGTATCTTCTGGGTGAGCTGTGAGGCGGGCACGTATATCCGCACGCTGTGTGTGCACATGGGCCTCCTGCTGGGGGTCGGCGGGCAGATGCAGGAGCTGCGTCGAGTTCGCTCCGGAGTGCTCAGCGAGAAGGTGAGGGCTGGGCCCCCCCCCCTCCCCCCCTCCCCAGGCTACCCCCCCCTCCCCCCCCGGCTACCTCCCCCTCCCCCCCCGGCTACCTCCCCCACCCGCACCGCCACCCCCACCGGCACACCACCCACGGTGGCGAGGAGACGTTGACTGTGTCACCTGGTATCCCAACCCTGACACAACGCCTGCTGCTGCTGCTGTATATTTGTAGATGTTAACCACCTCGCCTGGTCTGCAGGAGGTCGTGGGCTCGATCCCGACCCTGACACAACGCCTGCTGCTGCTGCTGTATATTTGTAGATGTTAACCACCTCGCCTGGTCTGCAGGAGGTCGTGGGCTCGATCCCGACCCTGACACAACGCCTGCTGCTGCTGCTGCTGTATATTTGTAGATGTTAACCACCTCGCCTGGTCTGCAGGAGGTCGTGGGCTCGATCCCGACCCTGACAATTCCTGGCCGTCGCCTCATGAGGCTGGAGGTTGTCGTCGTTGTAATTAGTGCTGAACTAGCAACTAATTAGCATATTTAGTTTCCACGACGAAACCTGACGACCGGCACCGCCGCGTGGCTGCTGCTACCACCTTGCCGCTCTGTGCCTCCGAGTCGTCCCCTGTACGAGTCGTCCTCTATGCGAGTCGTCCCCTCTCTCTCTCTGAGTAGTCCTCAGTCTCTCTCTGTGGTCAAATCCAAAGTTGTTGAGTTCGGCACGGAGCTCCCCTCTCCGCGCTGTTAATTACTCTTTGGAACAGCAACGCTGCCGGGTGGACGAGGTTGGAAACTCGCAGTCGGGAAGTCGCCCACCCGTCGACTCCCCGGCCACCCAACCCGCCACCCTACAACGACCCTCGCCCGCTCAGCGGGGCTCAGGGGTAGCGATGACTGCTGCTGTGTGCGGAGTAGCCTAGGGGCACCCCCAGCGGCAGCCATCTCTGTGCGTCGTGTGAAATGTGCGTTTGTTGAACTTCTGTCGCATCGTCCGTAGCTGGCCTTGCTCGCCGGAGGTGCCGTGTATAGGTTGGTGTCATCTGTATTGTGTAATCTGTAGTGTGTAATGTAGAGTAGTGTATACAAGTGTAGTGTATAGTGGCGTAGTGTATAGTGTAGGGTAGTGTATAGTGTATACAAGTGTAGTGTGTAATGTAGGGTAGTGTATAGTGTAGGGTAGTGTATAGTGTATACAAGTGTAGTGTGCACGATGCATGACGTGTATACGTGTGCGTGTGTGTGTGCGTGTGTGTGTGCGTGTGTGTGTGCGTGCGTACGTGTGTGTGCGTGCGTGTGTGTGTGGTGTGTACGTGTGTGTGTGTACGTGTGTGTGTGTACGTGTGTGCGTGTGTGTACGTGCATGTGGTGTGTGCGTGTGTGTGCGTGTGTGGTGTGTGCGTGCGTGTGGCCTGTAGGACAACCTGGTGACGATGCACGACGTGCTGGACGCGCAGTGGCAGTACGACCACAACAAGGAGGAGTCGTACCTGCGCAGGGCCATCTTCCCCCTGGAGAAGCTCCTGGTCTCACACAAGAGGATCGTCATGAAGGACAGCGCTGTGAGTGGGACGGGGCCACAACCCCCACCCCTCCCCCCCCCCAATATCCCCCCCCCACTCTCACCCCCCCCCCACTCTCACCCCCCCCCCCACTCTCCCCCTTCACTCTCACCCCCCCCCCCCACTCTCTCCCCCCCCACTCTCCCCCCCCACTCCCCCCCCCACTCCCCCCCCCCCACTCCCCCCACCCCCCCCCCAGGTGTAAGGCCCCACTGAGCTACGCAGCTCCCTTTCAGATAGTTCATCCAAGTGTCGACTCATCATCATCATCACCACCACCATCATCACCATCACCACCATCATCACCATCACCACCATCATCACCACCATCACCATCATCACCACGTTCATCATCACCATCACCACCATCATCACCATCACCACCATCATCACCATCACCACCATCACCATCATCACCACGTTCATCATCACCATCACCACCATCATCACCATCACCACCATCATCACCATCATCACCATCATCACCACGTTCATCATCATCATCACCACCACCATCATCACCATCACCACCATCACCACCACCATCATCATCATCATCACCACCATCATCATCACCACCATCATCATCACCACCATCATCATCACCATCACCACCATCATCATCATCACCACCATCATCATCACCACCACCATCACTACCATCATCACCATCATCATCACCACCATCACCACCACCATCACTACCATCATCACCATCACCACCATCATCACCATCACCACCATCATCACCATCACCACCATCATCACCATCACCACCATCATCATCATCACCACCATCATCACCATCATCATCACCATCATCACCATCACCACGTTCATCATCACCATCACCACGTTCACCATCATCATCGTCACCACCACCACCATCATCATCATCATCACCACCACCACCATCATCATCATCACCACCATCATCACCACCACCACCATCATCATCATCATCACCACCACCACCACCATCATCATCACCACCACCATCATCATCATCACCACCATCATCATCATCACCACCATCACCACCATCATCATCACCACCATCACCACGTGGTGGCATCATCGTCATGACCATCATCATCATCATGATTGTTATCACCGTTGTCATCAGCATCCTCATGATCGTCACCATCACGATGGCTGTGGTAGTGGTGGTTGTGCGAAGTGATGATGATGTTTATCCATTCTCAGAGCCACCGCCCCCCTCTCCCCACCACGGCCGCCCCCCCCCCAGCGTCTTGCCGGGCGGGGGAGTAAGCTCGGCTCCCATTGGCCAACGGTCTTTGGGAGCCGAGTGCCGATTGGTCGGCGGAGGAGGGGGCAGGCGGGGTTGGAAGGGGGGGTGGGGGCCTCCGGGCCCCCCACTGCCCCCCCCCTCCCCGTCGGCCGAGATGAGTCGACTTTTCTGATCGCACGCCGAGTAGAGACCATTATCGTAACCGATCCTCGTGGGTCTCCCCTAGGTTGACTCGGCCTCAAACGAGTCCCCGTCGCGGCGCGCGGTAAACATCGCCACCGGGGAGACGAAGGCCGCTAACGGCACTTGCCCTGCGGTCTGGTTGAAGGCTACCTGGGGGGTGGGCCGCTTTGTCTGTGTGCGGCGCAGGTGAACGCCGTGTGCTACGGGGCCAAGGTGATGCTGCCGGGCGTGCTGCGCTACGAGGACGGCATCGAGGTGAACCAGGACGTGGTGGTCATCACCACCAAGGGAGAGGCCATCTGTGTGGGTGAGGACTGTGTAGTATATAGTGTAGTGTATAGTGTAGTTTATAGTGTAGTGTGTAGTGTAGTGTGTAGTGTAGTGTGTAGTTTGTAGTGTGTAGTGTATAGTAGTGTATAGTAGTGTATAGTGTGTAGTGTATAGTGTATAGTGTGTAGTGTATAGTGTGTAGTGTATAGTGTATAGTGTGTAGTGTATAGTGTGTAGTGTATAGTGTGTAGTGTATAGTGTAGTGTATAGTGTAGTGTATAGTGTAGTGTATAGTGTGTAGCGTAGTTTATAGTATAGTGTAGTGTAGTGAACCAGGACGTGGTGGTCATCACCACCAAGGGCGAGGCCATCTGTGTGGGTGAGCACTCCAACAGCTAGTGTAGTGTGTAGTGTAGTGTATAGTGTGTAGTGTATAGTGTAGTGAATAGTGTAGTGTAGTGTGTAGTGTAGTGAGTAGTGTAGTGTGTAGTGTAGTGTGTAGTGTAGTGTATAGTGTATAGTGTGTAGTGTAGTGTATAGTGTAGTGTAGTGTGTAGTGTAGTGTAGTGTGTAGTGTAGTGTGTAGTGTAGTGTAGTGAGTAGTGTAGTGTAGTGTGTAGTGTAGTGTGTAGTGTATAGTGTAGTGTATAGTGTAGTGTATAGTGTAGTGTATAGTGTAGTGTATTGTAGTGAATAGTGTAGTGTATAGTGTAGTGTATAGTGTAGTGTATAGTGTAGTGTACAGTGTAGTGTATAGTGTAGTATATAGTGTATAGTGTAGTGTATAGTGTAGTGTATAGTGTAGTGAATAGTGTAGTGTATAGTGTAGTGTGTAGTGTAATGTGTAGTGTGTGGTACATTGGAGGAGGAAAGAGAAAAATCTAAATATCGATGAATAGCTCGTGGCTGTGACCCCACGTGACCCCCCCGTGACCCCCCCGTGACCCCTGCCGCCCGCCCACAGCCAGCGCTCTGATGACCACGGCGGTGATGTCCACGTGCAGCCACGGCGTGGTGGCCAAGATCAAGCGCGTCATCATGGAGCGCGACACCTACCCACGCAAGTGGGGCCTGGGCCCCAAGGTGGGTGTGGACCCGTCACCCCCATCACCCCGTCAACCTCATCACCCCCATCACCCCCATCACCCCCATCACACCGTCAACCCCATCACCCCCATCACCCCCATCACCCCCATCAACCCCATCACCCCCATCAACCCCATCAACCCCATCACCCCATCACCCCCATCAACCCCATCACCCCATCACCCCCATCACACCGTCACCCCCATCACCCCGTCAACCTCATCACCCCCATCAACCCATCACCCCCATCAACCCCATCACCCCCATCAACCCCATCAACCCCATCACCCCATCACCCCCATCAACCCCATCACCCCATCACCCCCGTTACCCCCGTTACCCCCGTTACCCCCGTCACCCCATCACCCCCATCAACCCCATCACCCCCGTCACCCCCCTCACCCCCGTCACCCCCGTCACCCCCATCACCCCCATCACCCCATCACCCCCGTCACCCCCATCACCCCCGTCACCCCCGTCACCCCCATCAACCCCATCACCACATCACCACCGCATCCCCCGCCCCCCCCCCCCAGTGTCCCATCCCCCCCCCCCACCACGACCACGACCACCGCCCGCACCTCCCGTCCACCGTCACGGCTCACGGCTCCCCCCCCCCCCCCCGCCCCCCGCAGGCGAGTAAGAAGAAGCTGCTGATCAAGCAGGGCCTGCTGGACCCACACGGCAAAGCCAACGACAAGACGCCCAGCGACTGGAAGGAGACTTACGAAGACTACGGGTCAGACACCCCCCACCACCCCCCACCCCCCCTCACCTCACCACCCCCTCACCCTCTCACCCCTCACCCCCCCTCACCCCCCTCACCCCACCCTCACCCCCCACCCCCTCACCCCACCCCCCCTCACCCCACCCCCTCACCCCCCACCCCACCCTCACCCCCCCTCTCACCCCACCACCCTCACCCTACCACCCCCCTCACCCCACCCCCCCTCACCCCACCACCCCTCACCCTCTCACCCCACCACCCTCACCCTACCACCCCTCACCCTCTCAACCCTCACCTCACCCTCACCCCCCCCTCACCCCCTCACCCCCCCCTCAGCACCCTCACTCCACACCCCTCACCTCACCCCACCACCCTTTCACCCCACCCCTCCCTCACCCCCTCACCCCCTCACCTCACCCCCCCCTCACCCCACCACCCCCTCACCTCACCCCCCCCTCACCCCCCCCCCTCACCCCACCCCCCCTTTGTTGATGTTTATTTATTTCCGCCCCCCCCCCCCCCCCGCTCAGTGCCGGCCGGCGTGGTCCGTCGAAGAAATCTGCGGCAGCCGCCCCCCCCACCGCTGCTGCTGCTGCTGCGGGGGATGGGGAGGAGGAGGGGAAGCCTCCGGCTAAGGTGGGGCGACGTCACCGTGACGTCACCGCGGCGACGTCACCGTGACGACGGTTTAGATTGAAGCGGTGTCACCCACAAAAACCTCTCGTGGATAAGACTTGTCGTAACTTGCGAGCGAACGTCTTGGTGTAGACATAAAGCTGTTATTATTATTATTAAAGCTCTCACGTGACTAACTTACAACTCTAACCGCTCAGCATCGTGAGTGAAGCTATCACGTGACTAACTTACGACTCTAACCGCTCAGCGTCGTGAGTGAAGCTATCACGTGACTAACTTACTACCCAGTCAGCATCGTGAGTGAAGCTATCACGTGACTAACTTACTACCCAGTCAGCGTCGTGAGTGAAGCTATCACGTGACTAACTTACTACCCGTTCAGCGTCGTGAGTGAAGCTATCACGTGACTAACTTACTACCCCAGTCAGCGTCGTGAGTGAAGCTATCACGTGACTAACTTACTACCCAGTCAGCGTCGTGAGTGAAGCTATCACGTGACTAACTTACTACCCGCTCAGCGTCGTGAGTGAAGCTATCACGTGACTAACTTACTACCCGTTCAGCGTCGTGAGTGAAGCTATCACGTGACTAACTTACTACCCAGTCAGCGTCGTGAGTGAAGCTATCACGTGACTAACTTACTACCCGCTCAGCGTCGTGAGTGAAGCTATCACGTGACTAACTTACTACCCGTTCAGCGTCGTGAGTGAAGCTATCACGTGACTAACTTACTACCCAGTCAGCGTCGTGAGTGAAGCTATCACGTGACTAACTTACTACCCGTTCAGCGTCGTGAGTGAAGCTATCACGTGACTAACTTACTACCCAGTCAGCGTCGTGAGTGAAGCTATCACGTGACTAACTTACTACCCAGTCAGCGTCGTGAGTGAAGCTATCACGTGACTAACTTACTACCCCGGTCAGCGTCGTGAGTGAAGCTATCACGTGACTAACTTACTACCCAGTCAGCGTCGTGAGTGAAGCTATCACGTGACTAACTTACTACCCAGTCAGCGTCGTGAGTGAAGCCATCACGTGACTAACTTACTACCCAGTCAGCGTCGTGAGTGAAGCTATCACGTGACTAACTTACTACCCCAGTCAGCGTCGTGAGTGAAGCTATCACGTGACTAACTTACTACCCAGTCAGCGTCGTGAGTGAAGCTATCACGTGACTAACTTACTACCCCAGTCAGCGTCGTGAGTGAAGCCATCACGTGACTAACTTACTACCCAGTCAGCGTCGTGAGTGAAGCCATCACGTGACTAACTTACTACCCAGTCAGCGTCGTGAGTGAAGCTATCACGTGACTAACTTACTACCCAGTCAGCGTCGTGAGTGAAGCCATCACGTGACTAACTTACTACCCAGTCAGCGTCGTGAGTGAAGCTATCACGTGACTAACTTACTACCCAGTCAGCGTCGTGAGTGAAGCTATCACGTGACTAACTTACTACCCCAGTCAGCGTCGTGAGTGAAGCTATCACGTGACTAACTTACTACCCAGTCAGCGTCGTGAGTGAAGCTATCACGTGACTAACTTACTACCCAGTCAGCGTCGTGAGTGAAGCTATCACGTGACTAACTTACTACCCAGTCAGCGTCGTGAGTGAAGCCATCACGTGACTAACTTGCCGGCGTGTTTGTGTCGTCGCCCGTGCAGAGGAAGCGCGCCGGCGACAGCGACGGGGAGGCCCGGCAGGCGCCGTCGTCGCCCGGCACCGACGACGGCGCCGCCGCCGGCAAGACGAAGAAGAAGAAGGAGAAGCTGGAGAAGAGGAAGAAGCTCCGGGGGAGTGGCGGCGACAGCGACGATGGCGCCGCAGCAGAAGCGGCGGCGCCGTCGTCGCTGAAGAAGAAGGACAAGAAGAAGAAGAAGATGAAGGAGGAGGAGGAGGAGGCTATGGAGGCCTCGGCAGGGACGGCCGAGGAGGAGGAGGTGGGTGGTGGTGATGGTGGTGGTGATGGTGATGGTGGAGGTGGAGGTGATGGTGGTGGAGGTGAAGGTGGTGGTGGTGGTGGTGGTGATGGTGGTGGTGATGGTGATGGTGGAGGTGGTGGTGGTGGTGATGGTGGTGGTGATGGTGATGGTGGAGGTGGTGGTGATGGTGGTGGTGGTGGTGATGGTGGTGGTGGTGGTGGAGGTGGTGGTGGTGGTGATGATGGTGGTGGTGGTGATGGTGGTGGTGGTGGTGGAGGTGAAGGTGGTGGTGGTGATGGTGGTGGTGGTGGTGATGATGGTGGTGGTGATGATGGTGGGTGGTGGTGGTGGTGGTGGTGGTGGAGGTGAAGGTGGTGGTGGTGGAGGTGGTGGAGGTGGTGGTGGTGGTGGTGATGATGGTGGTGGTGGTGATGATGGTGGTGGTGGTGATGGTGGTGATGGTGGTGGAGGTGGAGGTGGTGGAGGTGGTGGTGGTGGAGGTGGTGGAGGTGGTGGTGATGGTGGTGGTGGTGATGGTGATGGTGGTGATGGTGGTGGTGATGGTGGAGGTGGTGGTGGTGGAGGTGGTGATGGTGGTGGTGGTGATGGTGGTGGTGGAGGTGGTGGTGGTGGAGGTGGTGGTGGTGGTGGTGGAGGTGGTGGTGGTGATGGTGGTGGTGGTGATGGTGGTGGTGGTGGAGGTGGTGGAGGTGGTGGTGGTGGAGGTGGTGGTGGTGGAGGTGGTGGTGGTGGAGGTGGTGGTGGTGGTGGTGGTGGTGGTGGTGGAGGTGATGGTGGTGGTGATGGTGGTGGTGGAGGTGGTGGTGGTGGTGGTGGTGGAGGTGATGGTGGTGGTGGTGGAGGTGGTGGTGGTGGTGGTGGTGGAGGTGGTGGTGGAGGTGGTGGTGGTGGTGGAGGTGGTGGTGGTGGTGGAGGTGGTGGTGGAGGTGGTGGTGGTGGAGGTGGTGGTGGTGGTGGTGGTGATGGTGGTGGTGATGGTGCCGCTTTTGCTGCCCAACACTGCTGGGGTCGGGATCGTGCGGAGGGAGGGGCGATTTTTTCATCGTCGTCATGGTTACCGTGATCGTGGTCGTCATCGTCATAGTTACCGTGGTCGTCATAGTTATTGTGGTCGTCGTCATCATCACCATCGTGATCGTCACCGTCATAATCACGATCGTCACCGTCGTCACGATGGTAGTGGTGGTGGTAGTGGTGGTGGTAGTGGTGGTAGTGGTGGTGGTGCGAAGTGATGATGATGTTTATCCATTCTCAGAGCCACCGCCCCCCTCTCTCCACCACGGCCGCCCCCCCCCCAGCGTCTTGCCGGGCGGGGGAGTAAGCTCGGCTCCCATTGGCCAACGGTCTTTGGGAGCCGAGTGCCGATTGGTCGGCGGAGGAGGGGGCAGGCGGGGTTGGAGGGGGGGTGGGGGCCTCCGGGCCCCCCACTGCCCCCCCCCTCCCCGTCGGCCGAGATGAGTCGACTTTTCTGATCGCACGCCGAGTAGAGACAGAGTTGGTGGTCTAGACAAGGCTGAGATTAGTCAACTTTTCTGATCGTGCGTCGCATAAGGAATCTGCTCACTCATCCACCCACTCACTCACCCACTCACTCACCCATTCATCCACCCACTCATTTATCCACTCACTCACCCAACCACTCACCCACCCATCCACTCATCCACCCACTCACCCACCCAACCACTCACCCACTCATCCACCCACTCATTTATCCATTCACTCACTCACCCACCCAACCACTCACTCACCCACTCATCCACCCACTCATTTATCCACTCACTCGCCCAACCACTCACCCACCCATCCACTCATCCACCCACTCACCCACTCACCCACCCAACCACTCACCCACTCATCCACCCACTCATTCATCCTCCCACTCACTCGCCCACCCACCCACTCACTCGCCCACCCACCCACTCATCCACATACCTACCCACCCATCCACTCGCCCACTCATCCATCCTCCCACCCACTCACTCGCCCACCCACTCACTCGCCCACCCACTCACCCGCCCACCCACTCATCCACATACCTACCGACCCATCCACTCGCCCACTCATCCACTCACCCTTTCACCCACCCTCTCATTCACCCACTCAGCCACCCACTAAGGGCTGAGTGAGATGGGGGGTTGAGTGGGGGGGGGGGTTGAGTGGGGGGGGGGGTTGAGTGGGGGGGGGGGGTTGAGTGGGGGGGGGGGCTGAGTGAGGGGGGGCTGACTGTGTGAGGGGGGGGTGCTGGGTGAGTGAGGGGGGGGCTGGGTGGGTGAGGGGGGGGGCTGAGTGAGGGGGGGGGCTGGGTGAGTGAGGGGGGGGGCTGTGTGAGTGAGGGGGGGGGCTGAGTGAGGGGTGGGGGCTGTGTGAGTGAGGGGGGTGCTGAGTGAGTGAGTGGGGGTGCTGAGTGAGTGAGTGTGTGAGTGAGTGAGTGTGTGAGTGAGTGAGTGAGTGTGTGAGTGAGTGAGTGAGTGTGTGAGTGAGTGAGTGTGTGAGTGAGTGAGTGAGTGTGTGAGTGAGTGAGTGAGTGTGTGAGTGAGTGTGTGAGTGTGTGAGTGAGTGTGTGAGTGAGTGTGTGAGTGAGTGAGTGAGTGTGTGAGTGAGTGAGTGAGTGTGTGAGTGAGTGTGTGAGTGAGTGAGTGTGTGAGTGAGTGAGTGAGTGTGTGAGTGAGTGAGTGAGTGTGTGAGTGAGTGAGTGAGTGTGTGAGTGAGTGTGTGAGTGAGTGTGTGAGTGAGTGTGTGAGTGAGTGAGTGTGTGAGTGAGTGAGTGAGTGTGTGAGTGAGTGAGTGAGTGTGTGAGTGAGTGAGTGTGTGAGTGTGTGAGTGAGTGAGTGAGTGTGTGAGTGAGTGTGTGAGTGAGTGTGTGAGTGAGTGAGTGAGTGTGTGAGTGAGTGTGTGAGTGAGTGAGTGTGTGAGTGAGTGAGTGAGTGTGTGAGTGAGTGAGTGAGTGTGTGAGTGAGTGAGTGAGTGTGTGAGTGAGTGAGTGAGTGTGTGAGTGAGTGAGTGAGTGTGTGAGTGAGTGAGTGTGTGAGTGAGTGTGTGAGTGAGTGAGGGTGGGGGCTGTGTGAGTGAGGGGGGGGTGCTGAGTGAGTGAGGTTGCCGCCTGCAGGTTGGTGACGAGGAGGCGGCGACGAAGAAGAAGCGGAAGAAGGTGAAGAAGGTGAAGCAGGAGGAGGAGTCTGAGTGACGTCATCACGGGGGGGGGTGACGGGGGGGGGCACCACCCACCACCGCATCTCCCCCAGTGCACACACGCACTGATGTGTGTGCGCTGGGGGTGTGTGTCCGTGTGTGTAGACGTGTGTGTGTCGGCGTGTGTGTGTGTGTGTCGGCGTGTGTGTGTGTGTCGGCGTGTGTGTGTGTGTCCGTGTGTGTCGGCGTGTGTGTCCGTGTGTGTCGGCGTGTGTGTCCGTGTGTGTGTGTGTCCGTGTGTGTGTGTGTCCGTGTGTGTGTGTCCGTGTGTGTGTGTGTGTGTCCGTGTGTGTGTGTCTGTGTCCGTGTGTGTGTCGGCGTGTGTGTCCGTGTGTGTGTGTGTCCGTGTGTGTGTGTGTCCGTGTGTGTGTGTGTGTGTCCGTGTGTGTGTGTCCGTGTGTGTGTGTCCGTGCGTGTGTGTGTGTGTCCGTGTGTGTGTCGGCGTGTGTGTCCGTGTGTGTTCGTGTGTGTGTGTGTGTCCGTGTGTGTCCGTGTGTGTGTGGTGGGGAGCGGTAGTGCAGCCACAGAGACTCCAGTTTAATTCCGTCTCACGGGCAGCAGCAGCAGCAGTGACAGCGATTATCCGAACCGGTCCTGGACCTCCTCCCCTAGGTCGACTCAGCCTCAAATGAATTCTTGGTGCAGTGTGTAGTGAACATCGCCACTGGGGGAGACAAAGGCGGCCGGGCGTGGTGCTGTCCACCCCCCCACCCACCCCCCTTGTGCCGCCACAGTGCCAGCTGCTGCTGCTGCTACGTCAGCACTTGGCCAAACAGTCTTGTTGAAGACGACACGGGGGGGGGGGGGGGGGACAGTTGTGTGTGTGTCGTGCGCGTGTTGTGTGTCTGTGGGGGGGATGAGGAGGAGGGGGGGGCTGTGTGAGTGTCTCCTAAACTGTAAATAAAGACAGCTTTTTAAGTCCGTCCTGCCATGTTCATTTTGGTGTCTTTATGATTTTCTCCACTGGCACACAACCACAACCGTGCCAAGCCAGCCCAGCACAGTTGATTTTTTTTCCACTGACACAACCACAACCGTGTCAAGCCAAGCCCAGCACAGTTTTTTTCTACTGACACAACTACAACCGTGCCAAGCCAGCCCATCACAGTTGATTTTTTTTCCACTGACACAACCACAACCGTGCCAAGCCAGCCTGGCACATTTTATGTTTTTCCACTGACACAACCACAACCGTGCCAAGCCAGCCCAGCACAGTTGATTTTTTTTCCACTGACACAACCACAACCGTGCCAAGCCAAGCCCAGCACAGTTGATTTTTTTTCCACTGACACAACCACAACCGTGCCAAGCCAGCCTGGCGCAGTTGATTTTTTTTTCACTGACACACTAAAACTGCGTACGTGTGTGGGTAAAACAAACCTCGACCTCTTTGTTGGTGCCGGACGGTAATCGCTGTGGTGAGCAGTGCCATGGGGGGAGGAGGGCTCATTTCGATCGGCCATTCGCTTCATGGTATTTGTACCGCGACAGAGACCAAATGGGGGCTCTGGATGGGTGCAAGGGGCTGGTAACCCCTCCACCTTCAATTCGTTACCACCAAGCCACGTGACAAATATCCAGCTAAGCTGGTGCCTCAGGCCCCGAGGGGATAGGCTTCTATGACGTCTCCTGGCCAAACCACATTTGGCGGATACTGTTACGTTTTTTCAGTAAGTCACGTAGCTAAAAAATTATAATCAAATAATAAATCAATTAAATCACGACGTTTCGGAGGCATTACAAGTCACCGTCTTCAGGTGGGACCGTCAGCTAAATTTACTGTATCAAGTGAATGTAGACAGTGAATCTGGCTGTGACGGTCCCAACCTGAAGACGGAGACTTGTGTTGCCTCCGAAACGTGATTTGATTGATTTTTTTTATTTTCTTGCTATTAATATTTTTTACCTACGTGACTTTACCGAAAAAACCTTAGAGTATGAATCCTTGCAGTCACGAAAACTTCAAATCTAGAACCCATTTGGCGGAGCCAGGATACTAAATCCATACCCGGGAGGGTTCTTCCAGAAAGAACAAAAATCTCGACTTAAAGCTTTCGTGACTGCGGGAATTCATATTATTTGGGTCTTCCTGTAAAGTCACGTGTATAGGTTCAAAGAAAAATGAAACCACGACGTTTCGATCGCATAACAAGCAGTCATCATCAGGACAAGGGGATCAGCCTCTAAAGGCAAACAGTTGATGAAGGTTTAGAGATGGGTGTGGCCCACGTGTCACCAACATGGGTGGGGCAGCGAATGTTAAAGTGATGGTACTCAGAGGGCCACGTCGGGAAATAATAAAAAGAAACCAATAAAATACATCTTATCTTTTTGTTATTTTATTGTTTCCCTTCGACGTGACTACCGAAAGAACCAAGAAGATGAATCCCTGCAGTCACGAAAGCTTTAAATCGAAATGCATGTGCTGTGTTAAATCCAACCTGGATTTTGTGTTTGTTCATGATTTTGGAGATGTTTTTAGTGACCCCTGCTATGTATGGCAAGGTGATGGTTTTGATTGGGTCCTCAGATGGTTCTTTCCCAACGGTTGGGGTGATGGCTTCACGGATTGTGTAGTCCGAATATCCATTCGTCTTGAGAGCTTGCTGTACGTGCTCCAGTTCACTGGCTAGGTGGTGATGGTCGGAAATGCATCGAGCTGTATGGTGTAGAGTTTTCACGAGGGAATTCTTCGCTGGATGGTGGTGGGAGTCAGGTTTTAGGTAGGCGTCTGTGTGGGTGGCTTTCCTGTAGAGTGTCTCATTGAGACATCTGGTCTCTTTTTTGATTAAAACATCCAAGAATGGTAGCTGGCCATCCGTTTCCACCTCCATGGTGAATCTGATGGCTGGGTGTATGGAATTGATGTGGTTGAGGAATTGGTTCAGAGCTGGTCGCCCATGTGGCCAGATGACGAACGTGTCATCTACGTGCCTCTTCCACGAGGACGGACGTAGAGTGGATGCCCGGATGGCATCTGTCTCAAATCTTTCCATGAAAACATTGTCTACAACCGGAGATAAGGGAGAACCCATTGGGGTGCCTTCAACTTCGAATTAAAGCTTTCGTGACTGCAGGGATTCATCTTCTTGGTTCTTTCGGTAAAGTCACGTAGAAGGGAAGTAATAAATTAAGAAAAATAAAACATTAAAATAAAATATTTAAAAAAAATTTGTTTTATATTTATAATTGTATTACTTCCCTTCTACGTGACTTTACCGAAAGAACCAAGAAGATACCTTCAACTTGTTTGTAGAATGTTCCATTCCAGGTGTAGTAAGTGTTGGTGAGTCAGTGTCTCACCAGGGCCGGTACATCAGCATTCCGTCCTTATTTGACCAAATCTTCAATGACTGCAGTGGTGTCAGGCACAGGAACTTTGGTGCACAAAGAGACGACATCGAAACTAACGAGCAAGTCACCTGGAGGTAGTGAGACGTCCTTCATTAACGATACCAGGTGAGCTGAGTGCAGCTGAAGTGGTCTTACCAGTGAATGGTTGTCAGGTCTCAGAAACCGGGCCAGTTTGTAGGTGGGTGAGTCAATGGTGGAGACGATAGGACGAGGGGTGACCCGTCTTTATGGATTTCTGGTCAGCCATACAATCTGGGTGGTCGAGCAGCAGAGGGTTTTAAGGAAAACCGCTTGCTTGTTTCGATTAAAGATGTGGAATCTGTGATGATTTTGTTGGTTTTCGTAACGAGGCTCTTGGTGGGATCTCTTTAAATGTTTGTATAGCTGCCATCATGCCCAACAGTTGGGTTGATAGCTTCACGGATTGTGTAGTCTGTAATTAGGGCCTCCTTACCGCAGCCTTCGCTCGGAGGTTCAGAGAGTAGCGGGTGGCCCAGGAGATTGGTCGTGTGCGAGGCATTCCCATCCAGCTGGAGAGAGATTCGTTCTAGATTTGAAGCTTTCGTGACTGCAGGGATTCATCTTCTTGGTTCTTTCGGTAAAGTCACGTAGAAGGGAAATAATAAAATAAAAAAATTAAACATTACATAATAATGGAGAACAGGTTTGTCGAGAAGACGCTGTCTTCTCGACAGACCTGTTCTCCACCTGAGGACGGCTGCTTGCGTTGTGGCCGAAACGTCGTGAGAATTATTTTATCATTTTTATTATTTTATTATTTCCATGCTACGTGACTTTACCGAAAGAAGCAAGAAGAGAGATGCGTGTTTCTGGGCGCGGTGCTTTGCGTGGAGCCAGGAGCCACCAGAGCGTGGTCAGTGGGACAGGCCAAGCAGGGAGAGAGGCAATCTCAGATCATTAGGAGTCGGACCTCTCACGTGATTGGCCCAGGGGCTAACCAATGGGCTGAGAGCAGACACGCAAAACGACCTCCCAAATCGGCAGTGGGGGGTGGATCTCAACGCAGAAGCAGCAGCGGCGGTGATGGCGGCAGCATTTCACCACCATCACCACCACCATCACCACCACCATCACCACCACTACCCAGTCGTGGCTGAGCGAGCTCCCAGCCTCAAGCAGCGACGCGAGCGAGAGGACCAGTGGAACTTCGCTGTAAGTAGCAGTGGACGTCTGTCTCCCACTCCACGGAATATAGATATGTGTTAGGCAGTATTAGTATATTTCGATGTAAAGCTTTCGTGACTGCAGGGATTCATCTTATTGGTTCTTTCGGTAAAGTCACGTAGAAGGAAAGTAATACAATAATAAAACATAATAAAATACAATTCTCACGACGTTTCGGCCACAACGCAAGCATCCGTCCTCAGGTGAAGAATGATATTGTCGGTTTTCGTTTTCACCTGAGGACGGCTGCTTTCGTTGTGGCCGTAACGTCGTGAGAATTGTATTTTATTATGTTTTATCATTGTATTACTTCCCTTCTACGTGATGACTTTACCGAAAGAACCAAGAAGAGTTGTAGTATTGCTGAGTTCCCAGCGGGCGACGTGGGGCTTGACCCAGGGGCACGTGGGACTTGTGTGACGGAGCGGGGGCCGTGGCAGGAGCGGGTCACCAGACCGTGGCAGCCTGCCTGGGGGGCTGCTCGACTCGCTGTGGGCATCTCCCACTGCCCGCAGAGGGGGCGAGCTCGAGGCACGAGGGGTGGGACCCCCTTGGGCAGGAACACGTGGCCGTCTGGAAAGCCGAGTTGTGTGTGGGACAGGGGGGACGTGTATGACCCCCTCCCCTCCTCCCCCCCCCCCGAAGCTTCTGTGAGTGTCGTGAAGGCGTTAGGGACACGAGGGGTGATTAGGGACCGTCCATAAATGACGTCACACGATTTCGGACGATTTTTGACCCCCCCCCCCCATCGTCACACAAAGTCAGACCCCCCCCTCAAATATGACGTCACAAAGCTCTGCCCCCCCCCCCCCACAAAAAAAAAACATGCTTCAAATCGCTTTAAACTATTGTCATTGTAGTGCGTATTTAACGTGGCGCTGCACTCTGAGGTTGTAGGAGAAAACATTTATTTTAAAGTATTTAATTAATTAGGACGTGTTGTCTATATTCATTTAAAGTTGCGCATTTTGATGTGACGTCACATTTATCAAACCCCTCGTCATAAATGTCTGACCCCCCCGCCCCCTTAGGTGCGTGACGTCATTTATGGACGGCCCCTTATAGGTGTGTGGGTGGGTTGTATTCGTTTGATGTTCTGTGTGGTAGCCTGGCTCTCACAGGCTATAGCGGCTCTGTTCGGGGTGGTTGGTGTCAACTGGTGGGACAGGTTTGCAGATTCGCTGTGAGCATTTCTGTGAGGTGCTGGGGGAGGGGAAATCCCTCAGCCTGGAAAACATCGTGGGGATAACCTGGCTGAGGCTGCGGTGCCTCAAA